TGCTCTTGCTCCTGATACGTCAGAATCCACGATAATTTGGGTCAGCTTTAGGTTTCTTAATGCAGCAATGTTGTTACAGCACTGACAGTATGAGATGTAAACGAAGAAAGTTTGTGTAGAGGGGCAATATCTTCTATTAGACCAATTTTTACATGGATTTATTTGGATTTCAATTTTCTGACCTGAGTTTTTCATGTCTTAAGTACCAACCATTGACATTTGCCTCCTCATGCTAGATCTTTTCTAACTATATTGTGAGAGCTAAATGAATATTGCTGCAATATTTGAATTGCCATTTACATTTCCTTTTAAAGATCCCACCGTCTGGCTGGCAGCATTTTCAAGTACCTGAAAACCTTTTAAATCTAGTGTCTAACTTCTTGTCTGTGCTTCCTTTTGCCTGTCTGTAAAATGCTGGCAGTAAAATACGCAGTGTATTGTGGAGCACTATTAATTGTTATTAAACTTAGCTGTGGTTTTGGCAAATCCTGGTGATAATATTTAGCAAAATTCTGACATTCAGTCTTTCAGGAATGAAGGAATAGGTAATTTTGAGGGGGAGAAGTGTGCCACTTGCATTTCTGTAAGAGGGCTGTGTGTGCATGCTGTACTTGTGAATTTTGTGGCACCTTGCTCAAGTCATGAATGAGTCCATATTTAGCATATGGAATTGCTGCAACTGGCTGCAAACCTGGAAAAAAAAAGATCCAAGAATCAGCTTTTGATTTTTGTTTTTGGGCAGGTTTGTTGCTCTTCAATGACTTGTATATAGACAGCAATATTTGGGCAGCATGGAATATGCTTCTTTTTAACTTTCCAAGAGATATACTTTCAAGAGTGCAGTTATAATCAATTTTTTTCTGGTTTTGTTTTTATTTTCAGTCCTACCTCCTGTACTCGTTCCAAGACACAGCGAGTTTAACCCTCACCTCAGCCTCCTCGCCAAGTTTCGAAACACTTCTCTGCACAGCGAGCCACTGATGCCCCACAATGCCACCTATCCTGATTCTTTCCAGCATCCTCCATGCACCCCTTTTCCATCATCACCCAGCCACATGTTCTCCCAGTCGCCTAACAGCATCAGCTACCCCAACTCACCAGGAAGCTCTTCTGGACCAGGAAGTCCCTATCAGCTCACAGGTAAGAATGAGCTTTCAGACATCCTGACTGAGGTAGTTGAGGTTCTTGCCAGGGTTTGGGTTCATGTGCCAGTTCTGCGTGTTCCCCCCAGGCTGTAGCTGCAGATTGAAATGTTGGACAGAATGGATTTGGAATGTGGTTTCTTGTGACTGTCTCTTAGTATTGTCTCCCAGTCCTTCTGATGGATGCTCAGTGGACTAAGAATTGTAGTCATCCCACTCCTAGAAGTGCCTGGATGAGATTTCATGATTACTGTAAGGGGGAAGTTGAGGAGAGGAGCAGGTGTGCCAGGCCACCTTCTACCTAAAGCTGCCCGTCCAAGCTTCTCATACAACCCACAAAAAAAAAGAGCACTTGCAACACCTAAGTTAGGCACCTCTAATAGAGGTAGTGAGCGTAGGAACCTTTAGAAATTCCATCAAGAGAGAAAGGATGAAATGAGGAAATTGGTACGCAGAAATAATTTTAAATATAAGGTGATCCCACTGGCTGTATAAACTTCAAGGTGTTTAACAATCTGGCCCAACACTTGGTGAAGCCACCAGGAGAATCCTATGGCTTTGGAACGTGTTTCATCAGCTCCACAGTTAGCACGGTTCATGGAACGTGTTTCATCAGCTCCACAGTTCTGAGGTCAGCACGGTTATTGCCACTCAGGTTGTTTGTGTTGTGAACTCCTTACTTAGGACTGCTCTAACCACCTGAGAATTTAACTCTGCTTTTGCTGTTAAATATACCAAGAAGGTGTCATGCAACACAGCTGAGAGCTAGCTTTAATATCAAAACATGGTTCAGATCCACTTCTGGACTTTGTTGTAACTCAAATACTTTCAACGATCTCAGCTTTTTCACAAAGATGAATTCAGGTCAGAATGTTGTAGCTTAATGTTTTAATGTCTCAACTAAAAAACATTTAAATTCATGTCTTTAATGATGTGCCTATTTTGATTTTAAGTGCAAGAAAAGTGTCTATTTTTACAAGGTATTTCTAGTGTTTGAACTTCCTTTTAAGCTGGACACTTTCAACATATTGTGATGTTTTTCCTTCCCTCTCCATTCATTGAATGGACCTTCATTCATTTCTTTTCTAGATCTGTACTTTAGATTAAATCATATTTAGCAACATGGAAACCTTTCAGCAAGTAGTAGGACTTGTTTGTCTTCTCCCATCTTTTTCTTTCACCTCTGTGTAACCAAGCTGGATTCAGTGGAGCTAGTCCTGACAGGTAAATCAGGCCCATTCCAACTATTTAATGACTCTGACTCGTGCATTTAACTGAACTTGGGACTTTGCAAAGCTACTTAAAAATGGAAATGGCTCAACCTGAGCTTCAGTATATCACAGCACACAGCATGCTGATAAGCATAATTTGCCTGTGTAACAATCAGGGATGGAAGACTATCTAAAGCAAACTGGAGTTACATCAAGAACCTTGAGTGGGATTGGTGTGACCAAATACAGATGTCAACAATGCAAATTTCTACATCTCATGCAATTGTCTATACTCTCTCTGTAATCAGTGGAGAAAAACAGGCACTCCTAGAACAAGATTCATTGCATCTGAAGGTGTATGTCTAAAGTAGCAATGCACTGTGTCTGCAGGTGCCCGTTTTTCTTCAGTGGGTATAAGGAGCACTTATGGTGACTGGCTTTGGTGTAGACATCAAAAATACCTGTATAACCACATTATATTCCTTTCTGTGACCTGTATTCTCTTCCTCTCTTTCCTGATTTTGTTTTACTATTCTAACTTGTTGCATTTTCTGTGGGAGGGTTATGCCATCTGTATGTTAGAAATATCATATAGTGTATGAAATTCCTGAATCCTGAACAATGCTTACATAGAGTAACTTCCCTGTGCAGTACTTAACTTGGAAGATTCAGTGGTTATCTTATGAGACAGTCCACGTTTATCCACTCTGGGTGAAGTTGCTCTGTTTTGAGGGCCAGCCAATAGACCCCGAACACAAAAGGAAATTTCAACCTGGAACCAAGTTAAACCCTGGTCTTCTTAAAGAGCTCCTTAGTTCTGCAAGCTCCTATATGGCTCTAATTTACACATAAGACCACTGACTTTATGTTCAAATGAATAAAACTACATGCTTTTAGTGCTTACACAGTGAATGTCGGCGTCTTCTAAAAAAAATAAGAACTTCTTTTTTCTTTGGCTTTCTAAAGCTTTTTGTCTTTCTTGAGAATCCCCACTATAAAGTCACCTTCTGTTTTCTAGCTTACTGTGCCATAAATGAAACAAATCAGGAGCTGGACAGGTTATGAGATGATACTTTTTCTCCATATTTTTTCATCACATCCATTGCTCTTTGATGGGAGACTGAACAGACCAGAAGAGGGCCAGCCTTCCCTTGTAGGACAGAGGTAAAAAGGACAAATCTGAAGGGAGTTTTGCCAAGTCTGACTTTAGAGTGTAAAGGCTTTCCATAGGCTTTTTTTATAGCCTGTGAAGAAAGAGAGCCTTCTCCCAGGGGATCAATTAAAGTTAGCTTCTGCTCTTAAATCATCCTCTTCAAGTTTGAAATTTGCAAGAGAAGTCTGGAACTGAAGGATCAAACTGCGTTACTTTCTTAGGGTAACAACTGGTGTTAAGAGAGAGATTGACTGGGCACGGGTCTAGGCCCTGCTGTGACTTTCCCTCTCTCTTTCAAGTGCAAAGTGCCCAACATGACAGCCCTTCCTTCCCATCCTCCCTGAACATGTAATGGTCTTAATCTGGAGACTGACGGGAGGTCAGATTCAGATTTGTGCTCTGTTTCCAGCCGTTCTCTAGCTAAACGATGCTGAAGAAGCCTTAAGTATTCACCAGGAAAAGCCGGGGAGAATTTACCAACATACTGATTTAGGCATCTTTTCTTTCTTTTCTTTCTTTCCTTCTTTTGAATAGTGGAAACTCCACCCCCACCTTACCATGCAAGAGAACCTCCAGGAACCCACAATGGGCGGTCCATGGATGCATTAGCTGAAAGTCAACTAGTGCTGTCTTTGCCCAATGGAGGTAAATCTGCCGATGGAGAAGCTGAAAGTAAATAACCATTTGTACTATTCTTCAAAGAAAACCTGTTAAGCAAAAAATTATTGTTTGAACAATAAGGTTCAGTGATCTGTAATAATAGGTTTCAGACAGCTTTGCAGTAAGGCTATGTACTAGACCCATCCATTAGCTAGCAGAATAGGTTGATTTAAGAATTCGGTGAATTATGTGTGAAGTTACAGAGTTTAGACCTTATTTGCATCCATGGACTATTACAGTTAGAAAGCTGTTAATGAAAGCAAACACTGTTATCTACGTTGTAAAAACAAAGTTATCAAATCAAGGATGGTGAGGCAATATAACACACAAGAACACTATCAATATCAGAACTGATTTATTTATCACCTTCAGTTCTGGGTTTCAAGTACTTTAAAGCCTTGTGGTTGGGAACTTTCTTATTGCCATCTTTGTATTAATGTTACATTACTGGCTGGCTAGAAAAGGACATGTTCTAGTGAAGTACAAAGAGACTTCTAGAGAAGGCCAAGCTCTTTGTCCTCTTACAAGAATACTTTAGTGGGAGAGGGCATGGGTGTTCAAATTAGAAGGGTCTGGGATCCTCCTTGCTCCCCTTAAAGCAACTTCATGACCTCTCCAGCATGGTCTTCGCTACCTCCAGACTAGTAGTGGCAGGTGATGCCTCCACCATTCAAAGCCCTTTGCTGCAGAGCAGCAAGGGGAAATAGAGTTCCTCTGGTGGGTTTTCCTTTGGCTTCCTGCTGCTGAGAAGGAAAAATCACCATTGTTCTTTTAGTCCAGCATATTGTAGTCCTAAATAAATGTCCTTTATGGCATGAGGACTGAAAACTGTGCACACACACACATTTAAAAAATAATGCCAGCATTCTGAAACAGTGAGCAACATCTAAGTATCACAGAACTGGAGCAGAAGGAAGGTGAGAGTGATAGTGCTAATTACAGATGGGCACACAGAATGGCCAGATAATAACTAGTTATCAGACACCAATATTTTTAAATAAATTGTTGAGATACTTTAATCTCTTTACCATAGTTTACCATCCATGATCACTGCCCTAGTGAATATTAGTTTCCAGTTTATTAGAGGTTATGCACAGAGGTGCTCTCGGGGCAGAAGGTCTCACATGCCTCTGGTGGGCAGGCAGGATAAGGTTTCCCACTAATTTCTTTAGGATGAATGAGACTCAGAGATTCTGTTACATTTTTGAGTCTTTCTCTGTCTCTGAGTTAGAAAACCAGGGTAGGGGTAGATCCAAAGAAATTACCGTGCTGACATTTCAGCTTACGGTCCCACATGGAAGTGGAAAGCCCCAAAGCATGTTAAAAATTGGGGGGAGTGATTGATTACTACTGAACTTCAGAGTTTGGTATTAAGCTGAAGGCTTGGCTCAGTTTTGACTTGCTTTGAGCCCGTCTATCATCCCTAGCTCCTGCTGGTCTGCAGAGCAGATGTATCCCTTGCTATTTTCAGTGTAGAGATTGGGCCCCAGTTCAGCAAGGAATGTCAGCATGTGCTTAATTTAATGCAGCAGAGTTATCACTTTTAAGAACAAGTGGGACTCCTCAGAGGCTTAGAGTTAAGCTGGTGTATCAGCCCTTTGCATGTTTGGGGCTTCAGTCATAAAATTAAGAAGAAACAGAAGCTGCTGTTGAGATAAAAAGTGAGACATAAGTGACTGTGTAGATGAAGAGCTGGGTAGGGGGGTGGGGGGTGGGGGGGAAGTAGGAAAGAAGATAGAGAATGATTGTTTAAAAAATATTTCTGAGACCTGAGCAGCTGATTAATTTTATTTCCTACAGACTTTCGACCTGTTTGCTATGAGGAACCCCAGCATTGGTGCTCAGTTGCCTACTATGAACTCAACAACCGGGTAGGGGAGACTTTCCAGGCTTCCTCCCGAAGTATCCTTATAGATGGATTTACAGATCCCTCAAATAACAAAAACAGGTTCTGCCTGGGACTGCTCTCAAACGTAAACCGCAACTCTACTATAGAAAACACCAGGAGACACATAGGAAAAGGTAAGAGGAAATCCCTTCTCCTTGGGAATATTCAGAGCTTGAAAGAACTGTGCGTTGCATTAACAAACCTAGCTGACTTGTCAGATGTGCTTGTCTTAAAACCAAAGCTCTGAGATTACTTCAGAAATAGAAGAAAAGCAGCTGATTCTTTTCTGACTGGATAACAATCAGCAGAGTAGCTCCTTACAAAAGCTATTTACTTGGCCAGCGAAGAGAAAAATGTTGTTTATAGTTGTGTGTTCTAATTTAGCAGTATGTATTTTCATTTTATTTATTAGAGCTTCTGGCAGCTGGGAATATTGCCATTGAAATGCCACTAAAAGGATAATTGCTGGTGCCTCAGGGCTGGTTCTCCTACCACCAAATAACAAAGGGAGATGGATGAAACACTTAGTAGTTGAGTTATTTAGCTGAAGAACTCTACCAGAGTTGCCTTTGTAGCTTTCTCCCCCACTACCAGTCTGATTCCCTGCCTTGTCAACTTCTTGACAGTAAAACTGTCTTGGATTCTCCCTTCAGCAGTTCCCCTTGTATGCTCCACTTCTGGTGTACGTATACGCTGTGCACTCAGGAGTATATGCTACTGGTGACAAATACGGGGAGACCATACCTGGGCACGTGTGGTCACACACACTCCATCCCAGCTCACCAGGCCTGTGTAGGGCCTGATATTCTCCCAGAACTTGCTGTTGTTTGTGGCAATGAGTCAGAAGCCCTGTACTGGCCACTTCTCTGTGCAGATGAAGCTTTACCTGTTCTGGTATATCCAGTCTAGACTCATTATCTTGCCAACCCAGCCTCTCACCAGTAGCTGCCTGGGAATGGATTTCCCACTGGGCTAATTAACTCTAATTGTTCCACTCCTATTATCTTGTCAACCTCACCTCATTTCCCAGGCCTAGAGCAGTATTTTAATTGGCTCTTGATAGTCTAGTGTTGAATGACTGAATACGAGGAAACTCTGAGACAAGTGTGACATAGTTTTTATAAACAACAGTGAACCTGAAGGCTACTACAGGAGATGTGTTTATCTCTTGCGCTTTTCTCTAGAAAGGAAAGCACTGGTGTTGCAGATGTGCTGTGTGAAGTCAGCGTGATGCTACAAGTGTCTCTCATAGTAGTTTGTTGTGAGGGGTGGAAATGAGTTGTACCTCTAGTTCTAACTTAGAAAATAAGGCAAAGCTTCTCTATCAGCATAAGCTGTCAGAGGGGTGTAGATCAAAGCTGAGCCCAGCCTTAAAAGAAGAATGACAAAAGATCCCAGTCAGAACTGTCATTTGAGGATGTTACATTCTGTGACTTTCTGCCCCAAAAGAGGAAGAGACAGAACAGGAAGAAAATGAGGTAAATGCTAATGGTCCTCATCCATTCAAATCTGAAGATCTGTCTTCATTGATTAAAAGTCTTTTAAAGTTCTACACTAGGAAACTGCCCAAGGGAAGGGAGCAGGTTGCCCAGAGAGGAGCTTAGTATATCAGAGATCCTTAATTTTACTGTTCTTCCTTGTTTATGCAAATCTTAAAAAAACATGTTCAGGTGGAATAGAAGTGTCACCAGTACAGGCCTGCAGAAGAGCACAGAGCAGCTCCAAAAGTGTGTAGTTCAAAGGCATTCTGGACAGATGAAAGCTACTGAAATGGATACAATTGTCACATGTTAACAGGGGAGAAAAAAGAGTGAGTAAACAAGATTAGCTCAGTAGGATAAGGATATGTGATTGAATTGTCATCTAGTGTATCAGCGTGAAATGGTTTCCTGGAAATACCACATCAAAGCTAAAAACAATCCAGAACACAATGCAACATCTACTAGCAATTGGACCTGTTTCAGCAGTCAGACTTCAAGGACAAAAAGGGGACTTCTGATCGAGTGTCAAAAAGATGTGGATGCTTGGAGACTGTTGAATTTCCAGTTTCTGCAAAAAGTAATGAAATCCCACTAAAACATATGGACCCTTGATTTGGTCTTCTGCAAATATGTATTCAGCTACTTGGCTTCCTTGAGGGTGCTTGTCTCTGCAAATGAATACCAGAAGAATAGAAATACATGCTGACATTTCATTACTGATGTATTTATTGCTTTTAAAAAGTCCACAAGGAAAAAGCAAATTGTAGCCTCTGCTTTCAGAAGTGACTATGGTGTTTTTGTTACTGCAGTACGCAGTTTGGGCAATGCCTTTGAAAGCATTCGTTTTTTTCAGAAGTCGCATTACTCAATATACTCCGAAAACCCAGACTTTGAAGCTTTTCACCTTAGCACCCAGGTGCGTGGTCACCCTAAACAAGTAGCCACACCTGAAGATTTGAAATGCAGTGAACATTTATGTCCTTATTCTTCTCTCCCTATCCTGTGTTCTCACTCTGTTTATTTTATAAAGTTATATGGAGTCCATCAAGATCCTTCCCTTTTATCCATCTTCCAGAGAAGGGAAAGGAGACATAGGTCAAGTAAGAGCAGTCACAATGTGCAGCACCCCATGATGCAGTTGGACTGGAGCTGACAACTGGTCTAATGGAGCTGTCATCTCACCCGTGTTCCCAGTGCAATACTAGCGTGTGCCCTGCACCACACCCCCCTGCCACTCACATCTAATTTGAGAGCTCGTGAGTGCATAGAAGTAAAAGTCAAGTGATGGCTTGAAGACAGACTTCAAGGTTCCTCTCTGAGTCACTCTGGAAGTCTATGGGAGAGCGTACTTTTCCCAGATTCTTTTCCCACTCAACCTGCTTTTCCCTGAGCCTTTCCCACTTGTGTTCAGAGGCTGTTTTTGTCCTAAGGATGTGCTGCTGCCCCTTGCTGTCATGACCACAGAATGATGAGCAGGCTGGGAATATGTAACCAGTCTTTTTTGTATGAAAGACAACAGGAATAAAACTAATTACAACTGGATTATTAAAGCATAGTTATCACTAGCTTTCCAGGCAGTTCACTGAGACTCTGTGAACATGTGCATTTGTATGTAAGGGTTTGAATGCCATACCTGGGAACAGAGAGGAGGATTTTACTTTTATTTAGTGGTGTTTTTTATGAGAACAAAGAGCTGAGTTCTTCCACCTCTCTTGGCCATGGGAGGGGTTCATCTCACCTAATCTAGCCATGGGAAGGGTGAATGTCTGAGCATCTTCACAGGATGACTCGCCCCCCTTCAGGGTGTGGTTTCATGCTCACATTTAAGCAGTCTGGGTCCCCATTGCCACCCTTCCACTGATGAAGATCTCACTGCAAATAAATCTTTTGTTTTCTTTTGTTTGTTTTTAATTTTATTAGCTGGTTCAGTTCCCCAGTCTGTATGGCTGCCCAGTCCCCAGCCATTGCTGCCAGCCTGAAAGCAGGTGTGGTAAGAGGCAGCAGGGGCAGGGAACAAGAGAGCCTTTTCAGCACCTGCAAAGACTTCCATCAGTTTAAGCTGGCAGTTAAGCCTGCACTCTGTAGCAGATGGAGTGAATCATCTGATCGTACAGTGCCTTTCGTCATCTGTCAGCTAGAGAAGGCATCTACACAATTAGCTTACACAAGATCCCTAACTTTAAGGTTACTGAATTGGGCTAAGATAAATTCTCTCACCAATTTAGGTGTATTTTCATGCAAGCAGACGTCCTGAGGGGACCAGAATCTTTGAATGGGTAGAAATGCTTCCATCTTCATTTCCCCAAGGCACGGTAAAAATTTGAGAGTTAGTGTTGGTAAGTCACTCAGGCACTGAAAAGTCCAGAAGGAAGTCAGTCGTTTTCTTGCTAAAGGTCACTTTGAACAGGATCTTATGAGTAAGTCATGTCATGTAAATTCAAATACATAGTTCTGATGTGATGTATAAAACAAAATACAGAAAAGCTATTTTAAGTACACGCCATGCTGTGTTTGAACTGCATGAGATAGGATCCTGTAGTAAAAAGATAGCGTGCAGCGAAGTGGGTCTTGGTCAGCGTACATGTGCTCTACAGTGAAAATAGATTTAGATGTGTAATGCATAACAGATTTGTCAGTTCTTTGACTGTTTTGATCCACACTTTGTACATGGTTGACATATGTTCGACATTTATGTGTGTGTGTATGTATGTGCGTGTGTGTGTCATAAAGTACTATGCTGTTCGGTTAAAGAAGTAAACCAACCTTCACTGAGAAACAAGGCAGCACATCATGTCCCAAGATTTTTTTTCTCCTAGACCAGTACCTCCAAATGGCATTTATAACAGTTTCCTCTTAAAGTTGGTGGGTCTGTTGTACAGATACACGGATATGCACACAGTTTACTGTCTTTTAAAAGTCCATGTATAAAGACTGAGTGCTTGGAATGGTCCTGGGGTTGTATGCCCACACCAGTAAAATAGATAGAGAATTACTGGTATGCGTTGTGAACAATGGAGAAATAATATATGTGGGGTTTTTTTTTCAAGGTGTTCATCTTTACTACGTTGGTGGGGAAGTTTATGCTGAATGTGTCAGTGACAGCAGTATTTTTGTGCAAAGCCGCAACTGTAACTATCAGCATGGTTTCCACCCGGCCACTGTCTGCAAGATTCCCAGTGGCTGCAGCCTCAAGATCTTCAACAATCAGCTCTTCGCGCAGCTGCTTGCCCAGTCAGTCAATCATGGTTTTGAAGTGGTGTATGAGCTGACCAAGATGTGTACTATTCGGATGAGCTTTGTTAAAGTAAGGATTCTTTGTTTTCTCCTGCATTTCTGAAAAGGCAAATCCCATCACTTGCTGGCTTTGGTGCAAAACTAGACCCCATCAAATCCTTCCCAAGTGGGGATTTAGACACCCAGCTTGCAAATAGCAATTCAGACTGCCTGTTTTCCAGTATTGCCTTAAACTTCTAGGTGCTTAAAATCAGTAGCTTTTGTGGTCAACCTGGAAATTTCTTACATTCCAAAAATTAGGTATTCCATACACTTTTTGTGGAAAATAAGCAGAGATTGAATGGTGATGTTCTCCCATTGACTGCAGAAAGAGCTCAACTTAGAGGGGTTTAGCAACATGTAAATTTAGTAGCACATATCCTAGGCGGTTGTGATCTCTCCTATCATTACCAGTTTGCAGTAGAGCTTGGTAGAGCCATAGATCTGAAAAAAACGTCCTTATGTCTCTAGACTGATTTACAGTCTCACCATTACTATAGACTGGTATACATGGTCTCAGTCAAGAAACACTGGGTCTTCCTTCAGCCCACACTGAGCTTGCTGGGAATTGTTGTTTGCCACTGGTCTGATCCTTGGCAAGAGATTGTCTTAATTTCTGATGACATTCATCTGGCCAGCCACACTACCAGAAGGGCTTCTGGCAAGCAGAATACAAAACCCAAAAGAACATTGGACCTCCCCCCTGTTATTTGGAAGAGACAGGAGACCACCAAAGCCATTACTGTTTCCGTGTCTTTCATATCTGAACTTTGCGGTCTGACTGCTGTGTGTGGAATGTATCAGTCTTTGTGGGAGTTTCTTAAATTTTCTGAATGGCCTTCTCACCAGGATGAAATCTCTTGACTTCTTTTAGCCCTTAGGGTTTATTTAGGTGTCTATTGCAGCATCTAAACCCCAGAGAACGGTGAGTATTTCAAGACTGTTTACAGATTCGCTAGACTGACTTCCTCTTGTACTGCTGGGGAGAGCTGGCAGCAATGTTCAGCCTGCAAACTGCAGAAGTTGTACCATTAGAAGCAAGTTGGTCCTGCTAGGTACCATAAGAAGTGGCTTGAGTATGTCCGTTTGGCTTGCAGATTTGGTTTTATACAAATGACTGAATCAAGCTGATTGAATTCACATTTAAGATACTGCAAAACTGCTTGAGGCTCAAGCCTAGTTCCCCTATGTTCTGCAAAGCAGATGAGTTGAGCCCCACACGCCTTTCTGGTTCTGACTTTTTCCAGCCATCCTTGGGGACCCATCTCCTTAAGTCTCGGAGAGCATTAAGAAGGACCTGTAATTTTTCCCAAGAATCCAAGCCAAAATCTCTCTGCTCGTGACCACGCTGCTGCTTTTTTCTTGGGAAGGAACTGACATCTCATTCACACGCAAGCATTAGGGGAAAAAAAGAAAGCAAGAAACCCAACAAACAGCATTTTCTTTAATGGAAGACGTGAATGGGCATGTTGTTTATAAAGGCAGTGTAGCCAGTTATGCAATATTTTCATTATCTCAGCAACTCAGGGGTAATCTCTTTGATGTGTTATCTGCCTCCATGCCCAACATGGCAACAGAAATGGTGGTGTTGATGCACTAAATAGTGCTGCTGCCATATTATCACCTTGCTTTGTTGAAACAATAGCAGCCACTATAGTGCCTCAGGCACCAGAAGACCAGCTCAAGGAGTTATTTTGAACCCTTTCCCATGACCTTTGGAATATGGCTATGCAAATCTCACCTAGGCTCTTCCTTCCTGGCCTGTAAAAACCCTTTTCTGTGCTCAGTCTTCTCAAATTAGTTGTCTCCCAAAGTGTGAGCCCTGATGTGTTCAGTGTGGGGACAGGAA